TCTTTCCCTTAAGGAATGTAAATAATTGTAGTATTGAGCCATCTTCAACAATGCAGATGAGGACACAGCAGAGCAAGACAGGAGGGCCTATATCCTTGACAGCAGGGAAGCACCTCACCAGGCTTGGACTCCTATCTGGTGTGTTTTGAGAAGAGAAATAAAGCGCCTGTGTTTTTTCAAAAACAAAACAAAACAAGGAATGAAGGAAGAGGAGGAAGGAAAGGGAAGGGAGGGGAGGGGAGGGGAAGAAGAAGCTACTAATGGCCAAAGCTTCAGTGAAGATACTAACTGCAATTGATTTAAACACATCACATGTATTTAAAACCATGGCTTCATGGATAGGAAAAAAACTCATTGGTAACCTTGGGAGGATGCTAGGGAACCAATTCATTACTCTGAAAATAGGTAAATTTATCCCTCCTTTCCTATACAAACTGTATCTCATTGTAATGAAACAAATGGAAAAAAAAAAGTCATTCTTTTATTTTTTTTGCGGTACGCGGGCCTCTCACTGTTGTGGCCTCTCCCGTTGCGGAGCACAGGCTCTGGACGCGCAGGCTCAGCGGCCATGGCTCACGGGCTCAGCCGCTCCGTGGCATGTGGGATCTTCCTGGACCGGGGCACAAACCCGCGTCCCCTGCATCGTCAAGCGGACTCTCAACCACTGCGCCACCAGGAAAGCCCAAAAAAGTCATTCTTAATAGAAGAATTCCAGCTTATAAATAAAGAACAATGATAGAAGATCACTATCTTGTAACCTGTGATGAATAATGGATCTAGGACAGATGCTACAATCATTAATGGTAAAGCTGATAGGGAACTTTATAATAGATGGATCTATCCAGCAACATCTGAACTCCATGATCAATCTTAACAATAAATAAAGGAACAACCAGACATTTCTGTGCCTCCTGATAAGATGCAATAGAATGTATACTAAACACCTATGTACTATTCTTGCCCAAAACTCAAACCTATCACTGACTAAGACTAGATCTGGGCTTCCCTGGTGGCGCAGTGGTTGAGAGTCCGCCTGCCGATGCAGGGGACATGGGTTCGTGTCCCGGTCCGGGAAGATCCCACATGCCACGGAGGGGCTGGGCACGTGGGCCATGGCCGCTGAGCCTGCGCGTCCGGAGCCCGTGCTCTGCAACGGGAGAGGCCACAACAGTGAGAGGCCTGCGTA